ACATCCACTTCATGTTCTCAGTAAATAATGGGGTACGCTATGAGCGTACAAACAAAATGCACAGTTAACTATATAAGTGATAAGTATTTCTCTCTTACCATGTAACACCACAAGCAAAAAAATCATCATACAGTTCAAATGGAGAAAGTGCTAAATGAATACTCTCTGACCTAACAGGCCAATGATGGGTAGAACAAAGAGCTAGAAGATCGTGCCGGCAAGTAGTTTTTCAGGGGATGGAAGCTATCTATACCATGAACAAAAGCATTGTGTCATTTGTTCTTTTGGTTCTGATTATTTTAGAGAAACCAGAAATTGACAGTTTTCATAGCAATCTCCTGAGAATAAAAATAGAGATAAATAATAAATGTCAACACCTCCAAAAATAAAAGGTACAAACGTCTGGCTAAGATATCTGTGCACCATCTGCAATGGACTGAATGTTTGTGTTTCCCCAAAACTCATATGTTGAAACCCTAATCCCAGAGTGATGGTATTTGGAGGTAGGGCCTTCGAGAGGTAATTAGTTCATGAGGGTGGACGTCTCATGATTGGGACTAGTGCCCTTATAAAAAGAAGCCAAAAAGTGAGCTTGCTCTCTTACTGCCACATGAGGATACGACAAGCAGTTGGCAGCCTGGCACCCTGAAGAGGGCTCCACCAGAACGTGACCTGGCCGTACTGGCAGCCTGGTCTCAGACTTTCAGCATCCAGAACTGTGAGAAATAAACCTCTGTTGTTTATAAGCCACCCGGTCTGTGGTTCTTTGTCACAGCAGCCTATACTAAGGCTGTGTGATATTCCGTTGTATGTCTAGGCCACATTTTGTTTATTCATTTAATCCAAATGCCAATGGATATTTGAGTTCCTTCCACCTCTTGGCTATTATGAATAGTGCTGTTAAGAATACAGGTATGCAAACATTTTTTCAAAATCCTGCTTTCAATTCTTTGGCATATATGCCCAGGAGTGGGATTGCTGGATCATATGACTCTAGAGAGTCTTAGTCAGTGGTTCTGGGGCGGAGCCTAGGAAGCTGCACTGTTGGGAAGTACTTCAGGTCACTCTGGAGCACGTGGTCTGTGGTTCACAGTTAGGGAAACCATACCTACTAAATCTAGAGAGATTTAAGACGTGTGTAAGTTGAGAGTAAGAGAATATTGGTAAAGACTGTGATTGGGAGTAAGGCCTCATGACTTGAAGACGGTTGGAAATGCGGGTCATGAAAGGATGGAGGCAGAGAGCTTTCTGTTTGGAGGCACATCTGAGACTGGCCCAGTGTACGGTAATCCCAGAATCGGTAATAGCAACCAATTGTCCAAAAGGCTTGGGATTTCATAGTGACAAAAGTACCTGATACTGATGTACCCCAGCAGAAATATGCAAAGGCTAAGCCCCAGAAATCACACAATTTCTGAACCTAAATTTACTATGCAAGACAAGAAAAAAATATATTCCATAAAATTCAAAAAGTTTGTCCAAAATCATGCTACATTCTGTGACAGCCACTAATTTACTATGACTCATAACTGTTCAGAGTGATATCTAAATAAGGTAGAAAAGTACTAAGACAACACATATGTGTGTGTGGGGGAAGGGGCCTATGTTTATAGGCTTGCATTTATTTTTTTCTTTTTAAGCTAAAGTGTGGAAGAAGCTCTGTTAAAACCAGTGATCCAGTGACATCTATAAACATTTATTCATCCCATTAAGGAATTATGGAGGCAGCTATAGATACATGAAAGCCATAAAAATCAATTTACTGTTGTTAATGGCAGAACACGGGGCTATGTTCTTGCTTCATTAATGTCTATTATTTACCTTCCAGTAATGGACTAGTTATTTTCAAAGACTGAGTACAGGTCAGACCACAGTCTGTGTGAGATCACAAAAGCAAGGTAATGGTGGTACGTATTTAGATTTCCTGTGTGCAGATAATTGCATGTTTCTAATAAAAACAATGTACAAATTCCTTTTAGTCATTATGCCAGTGCTGTGCTTCACTCAGTTCTGTGTCAACTGCCAAAATGACAAAGAATCTGCTATAATGAGTGTTCATAGCTTAATTCCCGTAGAGGACTCGCTGCTATTCTCCTAAATGACTTGTTCTGCATTTCTTTTGTTACCTGAGTAGCGTCGTTTCTTACCACACAACCCAGTGTCTGCTCTTGAAAAGAAGTAGCTATTTAACTGGCAAAAGCTAGCGCTGATGGATAGCTGAAAGAGAGTTTCCCTCCAGCCATAAGCAACCCAATAACGTGTGCATTACCATGGTGGTTCTTACAATGGCGATGAGTAAGGACACATCATCTTTCAAACAGAGAGACTTTCGTGTATCCTGAGTGAGGTGACGTATAATAAAATGGCAAAACGATTCCAAACCAATAACAATGACCAAGAAAAGGAAGAAAAGAATTTACTATGATGTTCCCAGGGGTGGTGATTTCCCCCAAATATGTGACATTAGAATCCCTAAGACACATTCCTAGTTGGCTGTGTGATCGCAAGTGCATGTCTAGACACGCAGTTCGAAGACGCACAGTCTCTAAAGAGAATGGGAGCCGGTGTCAAGTACGTGCTCTAACTGGGGAGTGGCTCCTCGTAAGGGAATTTGGCTGCTTGCAGAGCACTGTGTGAAGAAGGCGGAAGTAAGGATAGAACACGGCAAAGTGAAAGGTGGCTCTGCCCATGGCAAAATTGGGACTAAGATCTGTGACATGCCCTAGGGCCACAGGGCTCCACCTACCTTTCGTCCCTCTTCCAGCCAAGAAAGTTAGAGCTTCTACCTTGTAAGTTATCTCAAATTTCACAGATGTGAAATACTACTGTTATAAGATATTTCACTATTTTAAAACGTTAGATATAGAAATTGTATAGAAATGTACCCAAACAGAACATGTAGAAACCAAGTAAACTCAAATGTACCAAAGTAATATTAAAATGAGTCATATTGTGTTTTGTGAGTCTAAGGCAGCAAGTCTAAACCCTGATGATGTGTCATAGGATATTAAAAATACAGTTGCCCACGTTCAACCTCAGATCCACCAAAGTAGAGGACCCATGTAGGATCTAGAAATTTCTATATAAAGGCATACCTCATTGTATTGTACTTTGCAGATA